CCCCGCCACCTGCCGCCCTGGGGGGTGCTGCCCCTCCACTCCACTCACCACAGAGGGTCTGGGAAAGGTGAAAACGCCGGAATAGCCAGAGGGAAAAGCTGGGATTGGAGCCCCTAGGGCCAGATCCGGGCTCTGGATGGGGTAGGAAGGAGGGGGGTGAGGGTGAGCGGGGCTGTGCAGCCCTTCCTCCCCTTTAGGGCTGCTCGCCTCCGGCTCCGCCTTTTTCCCGGGGGGGAGGACGTTCCCCAGGGCCTTCTTCTCGGCCTCGAAGCGTTCCTCGGCGTCCAGGAGGTACCTCTGGATCATCTCCTCCTGGTACTGGTGCCTGTTGCTGGTTTTGAGGTGGCCGGCGAAGATGAACTTGCGCTCGCCCTGCATGGCCGCCCGCAGGATGCTCAGGCTCAGCCGCACGTCGTTGCTGTATTTGGAGGGATCCGACAGCTTCTCGGGGGCTGCTTTACCCAGGCAGCTCTTCTCCACGGGTGCTGAAGAGTCTCCTGGAGAAGGTTCCTCTTTGCTGCCTTTCCTGGCTTTCAAGGAGCTTTTCTTCTTCTTCTCCAAGGTATCGCCCTGCCCGTTGCTCGCGCCTCCCTTGAGGGTTTTGCTGTGCATCAAGCCGCCCATGTTCTTCTTCAGCTTGCTCCCCAAAGTCTTCCCAAAGCTGCCCAGCTTGTTGGCCACCGAGTCGGCCCGTTTCTTCTCCTTCTCCTTCTCCTTCTCTCGGTCTTTCTTTGGCTTCTCCTTGTCCTTGCCAGCCCTGCCACCGCCGTTGCTGGCGGAGCTGCTGCACACCGACTCCTTGTCCGACTCCCCCGACTCGGCGGCTGAACGAGCCTCATCTCCTGCCGAGGCTGTGGGAGACTCTGGTTGGGCCAGGGGGGCCTGGGGAGAGAGAAAACACAGGGATCAAAGTCCAAAAAGTCCAAAAAGTTCCTTGGGGGAGAGTTTTCGGGCTGAAGGGGACAAGGTTTGGTGCAGCACGTCCCCGGCAGCATCTCCAAGTGTGAGAATTTGTGGAGCTCTCAGATTGAGAGGAAAAGGGTGCTGCTGGTGAGGAGGAGGAGGAGAACAAGTTGCCCCTCTGGGCACCCCCGGGGGTCACAGCATCTTCAAGCCCCTCCCGTGGATGGTTCCTACGTTGATGTGGCCACGATGGGGTCTGGGTGCTCCTGGCAAAGCCCCTGAGAGCACATGGCCAGCTGAGGAGCAATGTCACCATCCCAGCTTTGCCACCTCAGTGGAGGTGAGCAGAACAGCTCCTGTTGAAGCTGGGGAGTTTGGGGCATAAAAAGGGAGAGGGAAGAATAAAACCAGCTCCTTTAACGCTGCCAAGGCACCGCTGTGGAGACTGGGGAAGAGGGTGGGAGTTTTCCAAGTCCCAGGAAAACCACCTTCAACCTCAAGGCAGCTTCTGGTGGCCCTAAACCAACATTTCTCACGTTAATTTTGGAAGCAACAGCATCATCCTCCCTGCAGCCACCAACAGCAGAGGCCTCCAGGGCCAGCAAAAACCTCAGGGAAGAAAAACCCCAGAGAACCTCACGGGAAGGAGAACAAGGTGGTGACCTCCCAGGGGAGGAGAGGGGTTTAAATAATTGAAGAGAGAAGAAAATCCTCCTGGTGTCTTTACCTGCATGTCACAAGGCAACGTGATCCATTTAACATTCATGTAGCTGTGCAGCAAGTGCAGCTTGGCCTCCAGGGATAACGTCACACTAGAATTGAAACCAGGATCAAAAAAAAAAGAGAAAAAACAACAACTTGGAGTCAGGTTTCACGTCACCAGCTGAGGTTTCTCCTCCGTGTCTAGTTATTGATGTAACAAAGGCTGGGTGAAGGCTTGCAGGTGGAAAAAGTGACAGTTTTGAAGCCTTCCAAACCCTTCAATTAAAACCTAAGTGAATAAATACGAGGCTTGGAGGTCAAAAATGAGCTGGGTGTGAACAGAGGGGTTTTAAAGTTAGGGAGATGTGGTGCTGAGGGGCATGGGTTGGTGGGGACGTGGTGGTGCTGGGGGAATGGTTGGAAAGATCTTTAAGGTCTTTTCTAAGCTAAATTATTCATCGAGTTCATTTTATAGAATCATCTCCCTTGGCCAAGAGACAGCACGAAAAGCAGATGTCAGCCCTGGAAATGGAGCTGGTTTCAGAATGATTCTCTTCTCCACAAAAACAACTTCAGAAAAAAAAAAAAAGAAAGATGTTTTCTTGAAGGTTTCCACTTGTCAAAAAAAGAATCATTCTTTCCATTCAAACCACGGGGACGGAGTGTTTTCTACTGGCTCCAAACCAGACAGTGTCAGGGCAAAAACCTGTGCTGAAGTTTAATCCTTGAATCTTGAGAGGTTTCGAGGTTTTCTGCCCCAAAGCCAGCTGATGGAGGAGTGGTGCCTCCAGCTCTCTGACCACTCCACCCACTGCTGCTGCCTCTGGGCTCAATAACAGGAAACTGGCTGCCACCAAAGCAGGACACGGTCGCCCAAAGTCTGAGGCAAAATTAGGGTGTCTGAACTTCCAGTGTCCACACAGCTCCAGGGCCCACGCTCAGAGGGGATTGTTGTCTCTGAGAGGGGATGGAGGAGTGGAAGGAGACACCATGGTTATGGGAATGTGACATGTGATCCTCCACTGCTCCTCATTTCTGAGCCACAGCTCTACTCTGCAGCTCCAGGATTTGGAGCAATCATCACTTGACTTGGTGGGAACAAAGCTCAGGAGATGAGAGGAGCACAGAACTGTCTGGTTGGAAAAGAGGCTCCTGGAGTCCCCCCAGGTCCCCACTGCCCCGTGTCCCTCACCCCACATCTCCACGGCTTGGGAACCCCTCCAGGGGTGGGGACTCCACCACTGCCCTGGGCAGCCTGGCACAGCCCTGGGCAACCCTCCAGGGCAAGAAATTGTTCCTCAGGGGCAACCCCAACCTCCCCTGGGGTGACTTGAGGCTGGTTCCTCTTGTTCCTTGGGAGCAGAGCCCGACCCCCCCCTGGCTCCAGGCTCCT